ACTTGGAAACTCTTTTCACCTTTTAGGACAAAAAGATTTTCACATTGTTTAACTGGATGAAAGTCTAATTATTACAGAAATCAGAGCTTAATTCAGATGAAGGCTGTTTAGTTCCAAGTGTGGCTCAGTTTTGAGGGGTAGTTAAAGGAGAATAAAGTCAAATACAAATATACATTTTAAGTTCTATTAAGTTCTATTAACTTCCAGCATTTAGAAAAAATCATTATTCTTTTAAATCCCATTATAAAGATTCGTCTTACCATTAATGTCAGGTTATCCTCATTCATTGCTCRTTGTACTATATATTTGTAGATTGCTATATCTAAACCATTAATTTTATTTTCACATTGTCTATGGAAATCATTTAGGCAGCAAATTTGGCCTTGAAGTGTATGTTCAGTGCCAAGTACTGTTTGTGTGTGACCCTTGTGAAAGGAAAACTGTAATTGTACAGGGTGAAGAAAAAAGCCTCGGAGAGAAGTATTGTAGTTTTACAGAACAGGGCCCATAGGTGTCTGCCGTTAACCACGACAGCGGCTCTCTTTCTTGACAGGGAGGTGTAATGCAGGTGACTGTTAATCCTACTGATTGCCTTTAATCTCACATATGAAGGCTTAGACCAGCCACCAGAAGCAATGGTGGTGGTGATGGTTCAAGGGTAGAAAGGCTGTGTTCAGCCAGGGAGAACAAAAAGTCTGGTAGCCATCTGGGCTTGGTAGTTTGTAATGAGTCACTGCCTCCATCCTTACGATTTGTTTTCTTTCCTTGCTTAGCAGTCTTTCTTTCCTGTTCCATCTGGGTGTGTTTTCACAGCTAATAGTAGTTTCCTGGCAAAGTGAGTAATTTTTGAAAGTCTATTTTTCTTTTTTTTTTTTTTTTTTTCCCTGAACCCTAGAAGATGGGAGAACTGCCCTCTCTGTAAAAATAGAGATGTTCCTGATGTATACAGGGAAGGGACTACCAAATTTCTTCCCTGCATTCAGAGAGTAGCGTGTTCATCATTTGGGCTTTTTATAGAGAGTGAGGTAGTACAAATAAAATACAATATATTTTTTTCCCTCCTATATATGTTAATAATTGTGGGTTTGATGGCAGCACATCCTCTTTATAGTGTTTCAGGGCTGTGGTGAGACCTTGACAGTACATGGGGAATGAACTTCTGCAGTAGATGCTGTCCGGTTGTATGCRTGGCAGAGATTTTTAGTTGTCTCCTGCAGTGTTGGATGTGCTTAATTCTGCACTGGTGAGATCCAGAGTTTGTAAGGAAGTTGTGTACGAGCAGAGCTCCAGTCAGCACAACTCTGCAGATGTTATTTCATCTCCAGGTAACCTAGGACACTGAACCAGTGGTGACTGACGTGTTTTTCATACACGTTTCTCTGAGTGAGCATTGTTAATTCAGGTTGTGTTGGACTTGCTTTACTTCCTAATGAATATTAAGGT